GAAAATTATCATTTTGCAATCCCTAATGAATTAGTGGACTTTACATAGTCATGTTTAATAGCTGATAATGTCACAAAAAGAACACCAGATAATTATATACTTCATGACAGTATACCTTCATCTGTGAAGTAGTCTTGCAAAAAAAACAAACAAACCTGAATCAAATCAAGCTTCACTTAACTAGCAATTCATAGGAACAAGAACTGGGGAAAATGTTAAACGTCTTAGGAATGTAATGAGCAAAATCCAGATTGTAAGAAACTATTCAGGACAAATGGCCTAGTTTCTCTAAGAACAATAGAAAATGCAAGGAAAAAAAGAAGGGGGAACCTATGGATCAAACAACATTTAAGACAAATTATCAACTGTATAATGCTAAGTAAAATAAATCAAAGAAAGACAAATACCTATGATTTCACTCATATGTGAAATTTAAGAAAACAAATGAGCAGAGAAAAAAAAACAAAAACAAAGACAGACAAGCCAAGAAACACTCTTTAACTATTGAGAACTGATGGTTACCAGAGGGATGAAACAGGTGATGGGGATTAAGGAGTGCAATTGTCGTGATGAGCACTGGGTGAGGCATGAAATTGTTGAATCCCTATATTGTACACCTGAAATGAATGTAACACTGTATGTTAACTATATTGGAATTAAAATTTTTTTAAAAAGACAAATATCAACCAATTACAGTATACCGTACATAGATCCTGAATCAGAAAAATTTTATAGGACAGTTGGTGAAATGAGAAAACTGGTTGCATATTTGATGATATCAAGAAATTACTATTAAATATTTTTAGGTTTATAAGTGATTATTTTTAAAAGAGTTCTCTTTTGAAGATATATACATTAAAATATATATGGGTTAAATCATATGACAGGGATTTGTTTCAAAATAAACAGTGCAGGGGGGTAGGCGTGGGTAGAAGTTAGGTGAGGTGCAGATGAAAGAAGACTGGCCATGAATTGACAATACCAGCTGAGGTAGGGTGATGGGAGTTCATTATTCTGTTGTCTCTACTCTTGTATATATTTATATACTGCCATTAATAAAAAATTATAAAATAAGTGATATATGTAGAGAATATTTCTGGAAAGTTATCCAAGATATTGGTAATAGTGATTGTCTTTAGGAGAATTAGGTCAGGGCCAGGGAAGGGGGGTGGTCAAGACTCACCCTTCACTGTACAATAATTATATTACCCATATAATAAATTAACTGAATTATTTTTAAAAGCCAAAGAAGTACATATATATTTTCTCTCCTTACCAAATAATTATCATCAGCATACAAATATGTTCTAGTATATTGTGTCTTTAAAAAACTTGTTCTTGGGGCGCCTGGGTGGCTCAGTTAAGTGTCTGCCTTTAGCTCAGGTCATGCTCAAGGGGAGCCTGCTTCTCCCTCTCCCTCTACTCCTCCCCCTGCTTGTGCTATCTTTCTCCCTGTATGTATGTATGTATGTATGTATGTATGTATGAATAAATAAAAAAAAAATCTTAAACCCACTAAAAACTTCATATCATATCCCCCAACTAGTATTCCACTTCTGTGTTCTCTTTTATGGCCACATTTCTTAGGAAAGGTCTTACCTTCACTAGCTCTTCTCCCTCACATATCATTCCCTTTTCATCCCAACCCAGCCTGGCTTCCCTCCATTCTCTCGAAATTCCCCTAAAGTGACCCATGAGTTCCATGTTGCCAAATCTAACAGACATCTCTCTGCTTGCTTAGCCTGTCAACAGCATTTGGCACAGCTGACCATTACTTCCTTGATATACTACCCTTTCTTAAATTCTAAGACACCAGGTTCTTCCTTCTCTATTCAACATCTAAACATTGAAATATCCCAAGATGGGTCTTAAACCTTCTTCTATTCTCCATCCACATTCTCTAGTTAGGTGAGTTCACCCATTCTTATCACTCTAAGTATTACTGATTTGCTAATGTCTCCCAAAATTCACAACTCTAACCCTGACCTCTCTCCTGAGATCCAGACTTGTATTTCCAATTGCCTACTAAAAATTTCACATTTGAATGTCTAGTAGGTATTTTAAACTTAACATGTTCAAAACAGCATTCTTGATTCGCCTTCCCCAAGCCAATAATTCCCATAGTCTTTGTGCTCTAACTAAACAGCACCATTGTCCAGCCAGCAATAACCTAAACCAAGTTTAAGTGTTATCTTTGAATCTTCCCTTTCCCCAACTCCCATAATCAATTTTTTTTGTAAGTCTTGTCCTATCTACCCACAAAATACACCTTGACTCTGTCCACTTCTTTTTTTTTAAGAATTTATTTATTTTAAGATTTTTTATTTATTTATTTGAGAGAGAGAGAGAATGAGAGATAGAGAGCACGAGAGGGAAGAGGGTCGGAGGGAGAAGCAGACTCCCTGCTGAGCAGGGAGCCCGATGCGGGACTCGATCCCGGGACTCCAGGATCATGACCTGAGCCGAAGGCAGTCGCTTAACCAACTGAGCCACCCAGGCGCCCTGTCCACTTCTTTTTATCTCCACTGTCATCCTCCTAGTCCAAGCCATTCATTATCTCTTATCTGGACTACTGTAACAGGCTTCTAATGGGTGAGAGTCATATTTTAAAAATAAGTATTAGATCAGGACACATCCCTGCTTAAAATGCTTTCATGAAAACTGACAAGCTGATTCTAAGATTCTAAAAGAGAATAAAGGGCTAAGAATAGCCTAGACAACTTTGAAGGAAAAAGAGGGAGGTGAAGGAGGGCACTGACTTTACCAGTTATCAAAACCTACTGTTAAGCCACAGTAGATACAAAAGCGTGATACTGGTGTAGGAATAGACAAACAGAACAGTGGAACAGAACAGAGAGCCTAAAAATTTACAAAGGAACTTGGAATATAGCAGAGATACTATAAATAGGTTCTGAGGAAACTGGCGATTAGTATAAAAAAATACAATTATACCAAATCACACATTGTATATAAAAATAAATTCCAGGTAGATCAGACTTAAGGTGAAGAGCAAAGCAGCAGAATTTTTAGAAAAAAATGTTATTCAGCAGTGTAGGGAAAAACTTCAAAAATAAGACCAAAAAATCACAAATCATAAGGAAAAATAAACTTGACTACTTTAAGATGAAAATTTTCTGCATGACAAAGGATAATTTAAACATTTATGGGAATTTTTCAGTACAGGGAAATATAACAAAAAAACAAACATACAAAACAGTCTATAACTGCACCACAAGATCATCCCTTTGGACATTAAAAAGAAAATAACACTTATTACATAGCCAGAAAATTCCAACAGTACAGAAAAGTACAGAATAAAAGTAAAAGCCTTTCTCCCCAAAGATGACCACTGTGATTTTTTAATTTCATAATGCATATAACAGCACATTAAAGTATTGATAAGTAAAAAAAAAAGCAAATTGCCAAATAATAGATATGCTCTTATATTTAAAAAAAAACACCTATGTGTATATGTTTGTATAAGTAATGGAAAAGGTATGGAAAGAGGGAGAGGGAAGAATATTCTTTTAGTTTTGCATTGTTTGAGTTGTCAGAATGAGCACAATTTTGTTATTCAGACAACTGTAATAAAACAAGCAAACAAAAACAAGCAAAGAAATCTGCCATGTGCCATTATAGCTGGAGAATTTAAGGAGTATATGCTCTACCCCCAACCAAATAAAACTAAATCAACATTTTTTTAAAGGCAAAAAAAGTACAGAAGTGTCAAACCAATAAAGCTTTTCTTAGCTAACTTGTAAAACAGGAGAGCTCAAAGTAGTTTGAAAAAGAAAAAATAAACCTGAAATATCTGCAGTCTATTCATATACACACCACAGCACTACCTTTGGTTGGGGGTGGAGAGATTTCCAGAGGAAGGAAAGATTAATAACCTCTTCATTCATGTAATGTTTGTACTAGCATGCCCTAGTTTTTATAAATTGTAAATAGTAAATAATTTTTAAACAAAATAAAAGCAATTATTTCATATCCCACAAATAAATCGTACTAGAGGAAGAAAGGCAACTTTTTGTAAAGGTTAAAGCACAGGCTCTGAACTCAAGAGTCCTGGGTTAATAAACCCTGGCTGTGTCACTTTGGGCAGGAGGCTAAACCTAATTTTAACCCATCTGTAAAATAGGCACAATAACAGCATCTGCTTTACAGGCCTATTACGGGAATTAAATATTGCGGGGCGGGGCGAAGCATTTAACACGGGGCCTGGCATTAAGGATAGAGTAAATTTAACAAGGGTAAAAGTTGAGTTAGGAATGCTGATAAAACTTTTCAAACATTCCGACTCCTTAGAAACTCAAACAAGCTCCGTGAATCAGAGCCCAGGTCAAAGGTGGGGTCGGCAGTGGCTCAGCCAGTTCCCTCCAGCGCCTTGAGAGACCAGCGAGCTGCTTGCCATCGCTTTCACAACTGAGGCCCCTTTCTGAGTGTCTCTTAAAAGGAGGCCACACATCCGGACGGATCAAAGAAATGGCCAAGTTCTTGAGGCGGAGACTAGACGAAGAGAGGGACTGATAAGGGAACATCCTTCCCCATTTTATCCCAAACAGGAAAAGCCCTCCTGGGTCTGAAATTTCAGAAAATGCCAAACGAACGCCCTTCGTGCCTTCCTCAAGAGCACCGCCACCTCAAAGGCGCTTCTCAGCACGTCCCTTCTCCCGCCAATGCCCCTCTTGGGGCTCCGTTTCCTTCCACTAGCTCAGACTCTGTCCAGTTCTGTTTCCGGCCGCAGTGTCCCCTTAATCTACTTTCTCCTCCACTTCAGACTCCGTTCGTCTCCCTCAATTCCTCGCCCTCCTCCCCAGACTCTCAGGCTACTTCACGTCCTTCACCTCCACCTCAGTAACCCCTTCTCCGTCTCTGGGACCGCTCCTCCGCCGCCATTCCGCCGCGTCTACCTTCGGTTCCCCCAACTCTACCTCAGTTTTCTCCCCTCAGCCTCAGGCCCCACGCTCCCTGCCCAGGTCCTCCCGGCCTGGCCCTACCGGGCTGCTCCAGAGTCAGCGCCCCCAGGCGGCGGACGCCTTCCTCGTCCAGATCCCACTGCTCCGCCATCCCCGCCCGCCGCTCACCTGCCTCGGTCCACGAGACAGGCTAGCGCACGCCAGGCCCCGCCCCCGCCGCAGGCCCCGCCCCCCGCGCGTGCCGCCGATCTCCCGGGGCCGTTAGTGCTGTGATCACGCGCCCGCCCGCCTCAGGCGTCCGGACTATGGTATGGATCCTGCCCTGGCGGGGGCACCAAAAACACCAAAGCGGCGAATGGGGAGGTGATGTGGCCAAGGATGAGGGCTATGGGGTTAGGGACCTGGCTCTGGGACATGGGGTGGGATATGGTCCCAGCTTTGAAGGGTTTGGGGACTGGCTCTGAGGGATTGGAAGAATGCGCCCGTTTTGTTTTTTAAGATTTTATTTATTTATTTGAGAGAGAGAATGAGAGATAGAGAGCACGAGAGGGAAGAGGGTCGGAGGGAGAAGCCGACTCCGTGTTGAGCAGGGAGCCCGATGTGGGACTCGATCCCGGGACTCCAGGATCATGACCTGAGCCGAAGGCAGTCGCTTAACCAACTGAGCCACCCAGGCGCCCAAGAATGCGCCTGTTTTGAGGGATGAAGTGTTCTAGGTCTGAGGTTTTGGGGGGCTTCAGGTCTGAGAGGTGGAGTTGTGCCTCTTGACAAGGTGAAGCTCTTCTTGTCTCAGCATTTGGAGCTGTTGACTCTGAGACCAGGCAGTGGCCGGCGGGTAAATGGGCTGAGGGAGGTGTCCAGATCCAAATGAGAGGGGTAGGGGGTGGGGATGGGGGGGGGGGGCAGCTCTCTGAGGCATGATAGGGAGGGAGCCCCAGATCTGAACTGTTGGTGAACTTGGCTCTGAGGAGTTGAAGTCCTGTCTTTAGATCATGAGGTGGTTATAGCTCTAGAAATTTATTTGGAAGGTGCTCCTTTGGGAGGGAGGATCAGTGCGGAAAAGAGAGATACTCTTTGGAATGGACTGGAGAAGATTATGCGAGGGCTACCCCATTTCCTATAGGCAGTCTGGCAAGAAGCATTTTGCCCTGCAAGAACTACAGATCCCCAAGCTTGCCTCTGACCGAGGGCTCTCCCCAGGCTGGGATAGTTCTAACTCTCGTGCAGTCTTTGGAAAGAAAACTCTAGAAAGAACAGCCACATCCTTAACCCCTACCCTCACTCCATCCAGCAGGCGTCTCTTGAGAGCCCACCTGTGGATGGGACACGTATGTGTAAGGAGGCAAACTCTTTTGAGCAAAGACACTCTTGTCAAAGCCTATCCTTAATAAGAAAAGAGGACTGAGAACAGAACTGTGGCTCACCTTCCGGGAGTGGGTCTTCTTTGGTAGCCAAAAATCTGCGGAGTAGGAGCAGTTACACTGAGCTATCAACCAGCTAGTCATATTTAAGAAGAACAGAAAGCAGAATCAAGGGTTCTTGCTTATTTATGCTTTCTGGTTTGGGTGGGGCCCTTATTTACCATCAGTTTGTCATGCTCAGCTGTAGCCATTTTTAAAAGGGCCGGGACTCAAAAGCCTAGATTAGTTCCTTAGATTGGCTTTTCTTCCTCAGCTTCTGTGAATCATGACACCATTTAAAAAATTTGTAATCTTTCTCAGGGCCCTTTTAACTCTTCTAGCCTCAAATGTGGCATATATAATTGCTCTTCTTTACATCTGAATTATTTAGACCAGTTATAAGAGAAAGGAGCTCCACCCACTTCTTTGTTGCATACATTTATTTTCCTTCCTCAGCTGTCAAAATAGAAGGTGCAGGTTTTGTTGGAAAAGTGAGCCTTTCCTACCTTGAGCAACCACCTCTTATTTAACACTCTTCCCACCCACCAACATTGTAATGCAAATTTTGGAAGATTCAGAAAGGTTGAACGAACTATATACCCATTGCCTGGATTCTACAGTGAACATCTTTGCTGTATTTGTTTTTATCATATGTCCATCTATCCATCCCTTTACCAATCCATACTGGTTTTTTGATGCATTTCAAAATGTTATAAATATTACATTGCATCCCAATTGCTTCACCATGCATAATTTTTATTTAGAATTCTTTTATGGTTCTTTTTAAGGTAGAATTTTATATACTATTTACCACCTTTTAAATTTTGTTTACAGGAGTAGTCCTTGAGTGTTGAATTTAAAATCTGATACAGATGGTTTGTATGTTCATATGTTCTATTTTTCTATAGTGTTGATAAGCTAGGTCATCTTGAAGCAAAATAGTTCACGTATATGAATAGATAACCTTGAACTTTTAACAATGAGCTGAGGAAGCTTAATGATCTTTGCTGCCTTTGTATACACAAAAAGGAAACCACAACATTCAGCTATTCTGCTATGGTCTCAATAATGTAATGTCTCTGCGGGTATGATCCCAAGAGAGCTCTGCATGCACTCAGAGGGGTAGGGAGCGCCTCCTCATAACTCTCTCTCTCCTTTTTTTTTTAAATTAAAGATTTTATTTATTTATTTAAGAGAGAGAAAGAGCAGGGGGAGGGGCAGAGGAGGGAGAGGAAGAAGGAAAGAATCCCAAGCAGACTTCATGCTAAGTGCAGAGCCCAACGCAGGACCTCATAACTCTGTCTTAAATGTTGTTTTTTCTATTTTTTTAAATGGCTTTATTAAAAAATAATTCCCATACTACAATTTACCATTTAAAGTTTACAGTTCAGTGGTTTTTAGTATATTCACAGTGTGCAACTAGTACAATTTTACAACATTTTCATTATTTGAAAAAGAAAAGAAATTCCATACCTGTTACTAGTCACTGTGCATTTCCCCCACAACCTCTCTAGCCCTAAGCCACCACTAATCTACTCTATAAATTTGCCTGTTCTGCACATTACACATAGATGGAATCATGTAATATGTGGCTTTTGTGTCTGCTTCTTTCATTTAGCATAGAGAAATGTGTTTTTAGATTTTTTACTGCCTTTTAAATTTGATTGTTCATCTTTTTATTATTTTTATTATTGAGTTGTAAGAGTTATTTATGTAGTCTAAATACAAGTTCTTTATCAGATATGTGATCTGCAAATATTTTGTTCCATTATATGGGTTGTCTTTTTACTTTCTTGATGGTGTCCTTTGGAGCACAAAAGTTTTCAATTTTGATGAAGTTTTATTTGTTTATTTGTTTCACTTGTGATTTTTGTATCTCATCTAAGAAGGCATTACCAAATCCAAGATCATGAGGATTTTGTGTTTTCTTCTAAGGGTTTTATAGTTTTAGCTCTTATTTTTAGGTTTGGTCCCTTTGGTGTTAATTTCTATGTATGGTGTGAGGTAGGGGTCTTTTTGTTTTGTTTTGTTTTTGTTTTTTTGCATTTGGATGTCCAGGTGTCCTAGCACCATTTTTTGAAAAGGCTATTCTTTACCCATTGGATTGCCTTGGCTCTCTTGTCAAATTCAATTAACCATAAATGTCAAGGTTTATTTCTGGACTCTGAATGGTATTCCATTTATCCATATGTTTTCCTTATACAGTAGCACACTATCTTGATTACTATAGCTTTTTAGTAAGTTTTGAAAGTGGGAAGTGTGAATCATCAAACTTTGTTCTCCTTGGGGCGCCTGGGTGGCTCAGTCAGTTAAGTGTCTGACTCTTGATTTCAGCTCAGGTTATGATCTCATGGGTCATGGGATCAAGCCCCACCTTGGGCTCTGAGCTCAGCAGGGAGTCTGCTTGAGATTCTCTCCCTCTGCCCCTCCCCTCACTCTCTCTCCCAAATTAATTAATCTTTAAAAAAAATTTTTTCTCCTTTTTCAAGAGTTGGAGTGTTTTTGTGTTTGTTTGATTGTTTTTACTATTCCCTTTTATTTCCATATGAATTTTAACGTCAGTTTGTCAATTTTTTTTAAAGATTTTATTTATTTATTTGTGAGTGAGAGAGAACACAGCATGAGTAGTGGGGAGGGGCAGAGGGAGAGGGTGAAGCAGACCCTCCGCTGAGCAGGTAGCCCGATGAGGGGCTCGATTCCGGGACCCTGGGATCATGACCCGAGGTGAAGACAGACGCTAACTGACTGAGCCACCCAGGCACCCCCAGCTTGTCAATTTTTGCAAAAAAAAAAAAGAAAAAAAAAAGGCAGCTGGAATTTTCACAGGGACTGTGTTCAATCTGTAGATCTGGAGAGTATTACAGTCTTAACAGTATTAAGTCTTCTGATTGGTAAACATGAGATGTTTTTCCATTTACTTAGGTCTTTAAAATTCTTTCAACTATGTTTTGAACTTTTCAGAGTACAAGTATTACCTTTCTTTTGTTAAATTTATTCCTAAATATTTTGTTCTTTTTGATACTATTGGAATAGAATTGTTTTCTGAATCTCATTTTTGGATTGTTCATTGCTTGTGTATTAACATCCAACCCCTCATCAGACTACCTGCTCAGCGGAGGGTCTGCTTCACCCTCTCCCTCTGCTCCTCCCCCCTACTCGTGCTCTGTGTTCTCTCTCACTCGCAAATAAATAAAATCTTTTTAAAAAATTTACAACTTATATTAACATCCAAGGCGCCTGGGTGGCCCAGTCAGTTAAGCATCTGACTCTTGATTTTAGCTCAGTTCATGATCTCAGGGTTGAGAGATCAAGCCCCTCAACAGGCTCTGTGCTGCATGTGGAGCTTGCTTGAGATTCTCTCTCTCCCTCTGTCCACCGCCCCCCCCACTCTTATGTACTCTCTCTCTCTCCTTCTCAAATACATAAATTTAAAAATAAAAATACAATTGATATATATCTTTCACCCTTACTAAACTCATTTTTAATAATTTCCTAGTGAATTCCTTGGGATTTTCTATATGCAAGATCACATCATCTGCAAATAGAGGTAATCTCACTTCTTCCTTTCCAAGATGGATGCTTTTTATTTCTTTTTCTCGCATAGCTCTGTTTTCATTCCCCTTTTAGGAGGAGCCTGGCATGCCTCATGAATCAGCAGAGGATTTGTTTCATTTCAACGTTGGGGGCTGGCATTTCTCAGTTCCCAGAAGCAAACTCGCTCAGTTTCCAGACTCCCTGCTGTGGAAAGAGGCTT